TTAGGCCGGGCACAGTGGCTCACACCTGTAGTCCCAGCACTTTGGGAGGCCGAGGCAGGATGATCACCTGAGGTCAGGAGTTCGAGACCAGCCTGAACAACATGATGAAACCCAGTCTCTACTAAAAATAAAAATATTAGCCTGGCATGGTGGTGGGCACCTGTAATCCCAGCTACTTGGGAAGCTGAGACAGAAGAATCGCTTGAACCCGGGGGGCGGTGATTGCAGTGAGCCGAGATCGCGCCACTGCACTCCAGCCTGGGCAACAGAGCAAGACTCTGTCTCAAAAAAAAAAAAAAAAAGGTAAATAAATGGAGCCCCTTGGGCTCCATTAGGGACTTGGGCTTTACAATGCACTCTTCCCTCAGTTCTGTCCTCTGTGATTATTTCCCTACTGAAGGTTAAGAAACCGAGGGTCAGAGGAGAGGAGTGACTGGCCCAGGATGACGCAGCTATGAGGTTGTCAAGCAGGGATTTAAATTCCCATCTTCTGAATTCATATCCAGGCATCCTCCCTCCTACCCCAGGCCATGGCTCTCGGGCATGTCCAGCTGCTCCTGTGATCGTCCTCAGCAGAGCATGTCTCACCCTCTGTCCTGGAGGGGTGGGGCCTGGGTCTTGTTTCTTTTCTGACTCTTCCTTAATCTCTCTGGGTCTCCATAGCCTCCCTTACTAAATGTAGGATAATATCAACACTGCCGAAGAAAACCTTCTAAGCTTCTGCTATGGCTTGAATATTCGTCCCCTCCAAAACTCATGTTGAAACTTAATCCCCAGTGTGGTAATATTGAGAGGTGGGGCCTCTAAGCAGTGATTAGGTTATGAGGGCTCTGCCTTATGAGTGGATTAATACATTCATGGATTAATAGATTAATGGTTTAATGGATTAATGGGTGATTGTGGGAGTAGGACTAGGGGCTTCTTTTTTCTTTCTTTCTTTTTTTTTTTTTAAGACAGGATTTTGCTCTGTTGCCCAGGCTGGAGTGCAGTGGCACAATCTCAGCTTACTGCAACCTCTGCCTCCTGGGCCCAACAGTCCTCCTACCTCAGCCCCCTGAGTAGCTGGGACTACAAGCATGCACCACCATGTCTGGCTAATTTTTGTATTTTTTGTAGAGATGGAGTTTCACTATGTTGCCCAGGCTTGTCTCAAACTCCTGAGTCCAAGAGATCTGCCCCCCTCCGCCTCCCACAGTGCTGGTATTACAGGTGTGAGCCACTGTGCCTGACCGTACCAGTGGTTTTATAGGAAAAGGAAGGGAGACCTGAACTAGCACCTCAGCCCCACTGCCGTGTGATGCTCTGAGCCCCCTGGGGACTCTGCAGAGAATCACCAACAAAGTTCTCACCAGATGCACCCCCTTGACCTTGGGCTTCCAGGTTCAGGTATTCCATTATAAGCAACAGAAAACAGACTAAGCTCCCTAGGAACTCTCAGGTGAATTTCTCTGTTTTAATAGTTACAACAACAACAACAACAACAGCCATTTGAGGAGGGCTTACTCTGCCAAACACCTTGCTGAGTGCTTTACATTCATTGTCCCATTGAAGCCTCAGAAGAATCCCACAAGCTTGAGATGCCAAACACCTTGCTGAGTGC